TTATTGGCACCTTCAGTGTAGTTAGCTTTTGCAGCATGTTCTTTGCGCGTAAGTATCGCCCATCTCTAATGTTCAATAGCACGCTGTCCAACTGATCAGGCCTTGACGGACCACACATACCATAGTATGCAAGGATATGAACAGTCTCACCAGCACCGGCAACTTCCCTTATAGACAATGAAATTGAGAATATAATGAAATTGACATGAAACATCTGTACTCATAGTACAACAGTTAAAATGTTGTTTACAATACCATTTTAGCATAAAGGCAGCGAACAATAAAACAAAACTATTGCAGATCTATTGACAATGGAGTACAAATGATAAGATGATTGGCTTATTAAATTAAGTGGCATTGCTGGTTTTATTCAAAACACAAAGAAAGATCTTTTAAGCTGAAAGATAAAAAGGCACTTACCTTGGATTATATAGCGCACTGATTTCAACACCAGGAATTATTCTAATGCCAAACTTGGAAGCTGCTGACACAGCTTCTGGTATGCCAACCATGGTGTCATGATCTGTTAGGGCGAGAACTTTTACCTGTGGCACAAACATCATAGTTTAGTCGCTCCTATATTCATTATTCAGAATCTACAGTATACCCCAACAGGACATAACATTTAAGCAGCAGACGACCATAACAGACTTTAGGAGGTAGATCATGGTATTTAGTGCAGGAAACATTTCATGGGGAAAACACTACAAGGCCTCATTTTTTTAATAGCGATTAGCCAAGAAATGCATGTCGGAAAATGACTGATTCAATCAAATTTAACTAAAATATTTGTTTCCATATTTATTCTATTACCTCTTAGAAGGTAATAAATCACCATATCCATCTAGATCAAAACTAAATGGACGGTGCACAGTTATTTTGGTGTACCATGGCAACATCCATAAAGTATTCATCAGACAAGTGAAACGTTAGAGGTAACAACTACCCTCTGAATTCTCCAGCCACCAGTACAGCACTTGCACATCCTACTAGGAAACAATGATACCATAACCATGTCCCTTATTTGTAATCAGCTACGTACACCGGCAGGTACAACAAAATGTGCAGCATACCAACGCAGTGCTCGGATTAGCTTATATATAGCACCAGAAAAGTACAAAAGTCGATTCCACATGGCACAGCACAACGCCGCCGACTAAACCTGACAAGTATTTCCTCAAACACCTACTGGGCAAACCGACTAGAGGTCAGGTAGATCTTCGTCACTTACCCCGTTGCGATGGGCGCGCTCGACGAGCGCGGAAGGGGAGAGGAACCCGTCGCTGTGGTTTGAGTGCGAGTGGAGCTCAAACAGCACATCGCCCCCGCGCGTAGCCAGGACCGGCAGGAAGTCGTCGGCGTCGGCCACCGAGGGTTCCGGTGGTGGCGGCGCGGGTTGCGCCCAGGCGCGGACGTAGTCTAGGGCCAGGGCCTGGTCGGCGCTGGTTTTGGGCTTCTTCTTGCTCCTGCTCGGCTTCGACTTCTTCTTGTTTCCCATGTCGGGGTTTTGGGAGGGCAGAGGCGCCTTCGCCGGTTCGCCCGCGCCGCGAGGGAGGTTCGGAATTGGGGAAGAGGCCGGACCGGGGCTCTGGTTATCTGCGTTCATGCCTTTATAATTTTTGACGTTCGGAGAAACGTTATTATTATTCGCCTATTTTTGATGTATGTCATTATAATTTTTCGTTTTCCACAAATATGCCGTAGAATACGTATGGACATGGCCTGGGTCTAGCTACAGGCGTATACGAAGACATATACTTCACCACAGCCTCTCTTCCTGTCACACGCGGGCCTCACATGTCATCTTCTTCTTCTTTCCCTCCTCATCTTCCCTTGCTGAGCGCGGAGATGGCGATGGCGAGAAGCAGCAGCAGCACGCGGCCGAGCGGAGCTCGCGGCCTGGGCGGTGTGCGGAGGATGCGGCGCACGGAGCATGCGGGCGGGCTCGCAAGCGTGAGGGCGAGCTGCTGCAATGGGCGTCCGAGCGCGCGAGCGGGAGCGGGGCCGCCGGTGGCGAGGCACAAGCGGTCGCAGGCCATGTCTGCCGGCGTCTGGGAGAGGCTTGGCTGGAGCTCCCGCCGGCCATGGCGTCGGTGCGGGAGGCCGGGCTCGTGAGCGCAAGGGAGAGCTGCTGCTGCGGGTGTCCGAGGTTGCGAGCGGGAGCAGCGGCACCGGCGGAGAGGCGCGAGCGGCCGCGGACCATGGTTGCCGGCGTCGAGAAGAGGCCTAGCCGGAGCTCCCTCCGGCCTTGGCATCGCCAGAGGCCGAACTTCGCGAGGCGCGCTTGCAGACGAGCGGCCTGCAACGATTAGGCTCGTGCCGAGCAGGAGCGACGGCCGGCCGCTAAACACGAGGGGCACGAGGGCCATAAGCGTCGGCGTGCAGGAGGTGTTGGACGCTGACGCCGCGGTGCCCACCCCAGGAGCAGCAGAGCAGGAAGAGGATGGAGCGTTAGAGGGTGAGGCCAAGCAGGCGCCATGGACGACTCTGTACTTGAGTTGTCGGCCGCCATGGACGCCCGCGTCGCCTTCCGCGTCGCCTTGACTCCGAGCAGCGCCACAGGATCCAACCACTGCGGCACCGCTCAACCCCGTCCGAGGAGCGCACCAGCTGCTACCTACGTAGGCCATGCTCGCCAGGCTGCGCCCGCACACCAGCGACACGTCTCCTGCGCCCTGCCGACTAGAACTCCATCACCGGGATATGAACACCAAACTGGACTTGGATGTTTTGTTGAATGGCACATAGCTGTGGCCGGGCGAGCGCAAGCGGCTGCTGCGGGCGGGTAGGCTCACGAGTAGGAGCGGCACGCCGGCATCGAGGCACGAGCCGCCCAGGCCGCGAGCTTCGCTCGGCCGCGTGCTGCTGTTGCTGCTCGGCCGCGTGCAGCTGCTGCTTCTCGCCATCGCCATCGACGCGCTCAGCAAGGGAAGATGAGGAGGGAAGGAAGAAGAAGATGATATGTGGGGCCCGCGTGTAAGTGACAGGGAGAGAGGCTGTGATGAAGTATACGTCTTCGTATACGCCTGCAGCTGGGCCTAGGCCGTGTCCATACGTATTTTATGGTATATTTGTGGGAAACGAAAAATTGTAATGACATGCTTCAAAATAAACGAATAGTAATTGTGTTTCTCCAAATATCGAAAATTATAATGGCATGAATCAAATAACCTTCTATTCTTGCGCACCGGGCACGGCCCTGCTGCTTCCGGAATTGCTTGACCCCTGACTACTGCTAGGGAATTGCGTCACGAGGGATTCAAAATTTCGAAATTATTTGTTTGTCTCAAAGTTGATGATTTGAAAGCTGATTGAGATGAATTTAAATTCATCAATGAACTGTATGGGTTTTTCTATGGATAATAATGGTCCTATTGCGGTTAAATTCATCAACAAAATAAAAAAATGATATTTTTGCTGCAGCACTCGATGTGCCTCTTTCTTCACGAAAAAATTGATAACAGCAAGTTCACGTGTTCTGTGTTCTCACTTCTCAGTATATCAAAAGCACTTTGAATTTGTGCATTGATATTATATCAGACATGTTGTTTTGTTTGAATTTTAAAGTTTGTATCAGTCTGGCGCAAATTAGTCAATGTAAGAGCATCTCCAATAGATTTTCCATGTCCTTTCTAAATACTAAGGATAGAGATTTTGATGAAAAGCTACATTCCAACGGCTTTTCTAAATGGTCATCCAAATATAGTCATCTTCTGTTTCGGATTTTTTGCTAGCCAAAAATAGAAGACGAGAATGACTCTCTAGAGTGCGTATGACATATAGAAAAACTGTTGGAGAGTGCAAAGATATAGAAATCAATTTTTATGTAAATGACGCTCCAAATGATGATTTAGAGAGTGAGATTTAGAAAGGTTCTTGGAGATGCTCTAAGAGAGTGTGTTGTATATGATGGAAAATTGTTTTGGGGAACGTAACTCTAATGTTGTTCTATGTTCTATGATCCATTTGATATATCTTTTCTAAACGTTTTTCCCTTGATTACTCTCGACTTTTCTTGACTTAATTATAGATACACATTTTTTTCATTGCCATCAAATGTACCAAAAGATTGAAAAAAAAATGAAAACACCAACCCATCTTACATCTATATGTTTTTCAATTATGACAGCTCTGAAAGAAAAAACTGACAGAATTCAGCCAACACGGTCATTTTTTAGTTGAAGTAGTGAAGTCTATATGGTAATGGTATATTGGTATTGTTATATTTGTTCTAAATTAAATAGTTCAAGAATATTTAAAAAACAAAATAATAGTAGAAGCACGAACGATAAAATTCAAATTTGTCAGTTAATAAAAAACGGGGATACTGTTAGTAAATAATGCAAATCAAGATCGAACACGAGACACAGATTTTTACGTGGAAAACCCTTGCGGGGAAAAACCACGGGCGCCAACCGGCGATCTTCACTATATGGAGAGAGTTTACAGAACGCAGGGAATACAATGAGTCGTCAGCTCTTCCCGTGCGGCTTACAAGATGTATTTATAGGACGGACTGACTGCAGTCAAATACGGAAACAAATCCGCTAATAAACATGACCAAACCGTGGGCCCTCCAGGCGTCCCCACAAGACCAACGTTATAATTCGGATCATATTCCAACAAACTCCACCTTGAGACGAATTCCATCTTGTAGCAAATGAAGTATCAATCAATCAACTCACTTCAATAATAAACAATCACCGGCGCCAAAAAAATCACTAGGACTTAATTTGTAATGCCAACTAAGCTTGAGCATAGCACAAACTTAGCTCCAGGAACTGGCTTTGTCAATATATCAGCAGGATTATCATGAGTACTTATCTTGCACACCTTAACATCACCTTCAGCAATAACACCTCGAATGAAGTGATACCCCACATCAATATGCTTTGTCCTTTCATGAAACATCTGATCCTTGGTCAGACAAATAGCACTCTGGCTATCACAATGAATAGTAGTGCAAGAAGTAACCCCGCAAAGTTCAGAGTATAGACCTCTCAACCAAATAGCTTCTTTACAAGCTTCAGAAATAGCCATATATTCAAATTTCTTATAGTAGGCGCAACAATGGATCGCAAACATGCTTTCCAGCTAACAGCACAACCACCAATGGTGAAAACATAACCTGTGAGAGATCTCCTCTTATCCAAATCACCAGCAAAATCAGAATCAACATAACCAACAAGTCCATCTCTAGATTTCCCAAACTGCAAACAGGCATTAGAAGTACCTCGCAAATATCTGAAAATCCATTGAACAGCCCTCCAATGCTCCTTACCAGGATTAGCCATGAATCTACTGACAACACTCAATGCATGAGATAAATCAGGACGAGAACAAACCATGGCATACATAAGAGAACCAACTGCACTGGAATATGGAACTCTAGACATGTACTCAATATCTTTATCTGACTCTGGACATAAATTTGATGATAATCTAAAATGTGCAGCTAATGGAGTACTCACTAGTTTTGCATTATACATATTGAAACGACGAAGAACCTTCTCAATATAACCTCATTGATCGAGGTATAATTTACTGATTTTTTCTATCTCTAGTAATTTCCATACCAAGAATTTTCTTAGCTTTGCCCAAGTCCTTCATCTCAAATTCTTTACTCAATTGTGCCTTTAATTTAGCTATTTCTGATTTATCTTTAGCAGCAATCAACATATCATCAACGTAAAGAAGCAAATAAATAGCTGAGCCATTAACAATCTTCAAATAAACACAGCTATCATAATATGACCGCTTAAAACCATGAGAGAGCATAAATGTGTCAAACCTCTTGTACCATTGCCTAGGAGATTGCTTCAAACCATAAAGAGACTTCTTTAGTCTACACACAAGGGTTTTCTTTTCGGGAATAACTAAACCTTCAGGTTGGTTCATATAAATGTCTTCTTCCAACTCCCCATGTAAGAATGCGCTTTTAACATCAAGTTGCTCAAGTTCATAATCATGCATGGCAACAATACTAAGCAAAATACGAATAGAACTATGCTTAACAACCGGGGAAAAGACATCATTATAATCAATACACGGAATCGGCTATAGCCCTTAGCAACCAACCTCGCTTTATACCTTGTGGCTCACTAGGAGAAAGACCCTCCTTTCTTTTATAAATCAATTTACAACGGACGAGGCTTTTTTGTTCTTGGGCAATTTCACTAAATCCCAAGTACCATTCTTTTCAAGTGACTCCATCTCATCTTGCATAACGGTCATCCAATTGTTGCAATCAATGAAATAATAGCCTCAGAATAATTAGAAGGTTCTGAATTACCTTCAATCTCTTCTGCAACACTCATAGCATAAGCAACATTGCATTCTTCAATATACCTTTTAACAGGCTTTGGCTGCCTTCTGGACCTATCAGCAGCAATAGAACGTTGTGGAGACTGCACAACTAGAGAGGAATGCTCAGCAATAGAAGAATCATCAACAATTGGAGAAATTTCAGCAATCGGTGCATCTTGGACAATAGCATTATCAACATCTGGTGAATCAATTAAGTGCTCCACCTACACACTTATTTTCTCCCCCTCAATAGGAGCATCAACAGAAGGATTGTCAACAAACATAACAGTTTCATTAAAGATAACATTCCTGCTAAGCATAACCTTCTGAGTCTAGGGATTCCACAATTTATAACCTTTAACACCAGATTGATAACCAATAAAAATGCATTTAACAGCTCTAGGCTCCAATTTACTATTATCAACGTGAGCATAAGCAGTACAATCAAAAACTCTCAATTGTGAATAATCAGCTGGAGAACCATACCATACCTCAATTGGAGTTTTCTTATCAAGAGGAATAGAGGATGAATGATTAATAAGATAACAAGCAGTGAAGGCAGCTTCAGCCCAAAAACACCTATTCAAGCCTGAATTAGACAACATGCAACGGGCCTTGGAGATGATAGTTCTATTCATACGCTCAGCTACACCATTCTGTTGAGGCGTATAAGGAATAGTGTAGTGCCTAACAATGCCATGAGACTTGCAATATGCATTAAATTCATTAGAACAGAATTCCATCCCATTATCAGTGCGAAGCTTTGTAACCTTCTTTTCAGTTTGATTTTCAATCATAACCTTCCACTCTTTAAATGCTGAAAATGCTTCTGATTTATGCTTCAAGAAATAAGGCCATACCTTACGAGAATAATCATCAATGATTGTCAACATATAACGTGAACCACCAATAGAAGGCTGGCGAGATGGTCCCCATAAATCAGAATGCACATAATCAAGAATACCTTTACTTCTATGAGTAGAGGTATTAAATGACACCCTTTTGTGTTTGCCAAACACACAATGCTCACAAAACTTCAACTTGCTGATGTTATGTTCATCAAGAAGTCCTCTCTTGCACAATTCATGCAAGCCTTGCTCACTCATATGTCCAAGACACATATGCCAAAGATTAGTAGCATCAAAATTAGATGATGAATTAGAAATTACAGCTGCATCACCTGTAATTGTAGTACCACGAAGATGGTACAAATTTGGAGATTTCAATTCACTTTTCATAACAATAAGAGAACCTTTGGACACCTTTAAAACTCCATCTCCACCGGAGTACTTGTACCCTTTAGCATCAAGAGTACTGAGAGAAATAAGATTCTTGCTCATGCTTGGAATATGCCTAACGTCAGCCAAAGTTCTGACAATGCCATCATGCATCTTAATTTGAATAGATCCAATGCCAACAATATCAAGTGGAGTGTCATCACCCAATCTAACAGAACCTCCACCTTGGACAGAATCATAGGTGACAAACCAATCTCTATTAATGCATATATGAAAAGAAGCAGCGGAATCAAGAATCCATTCATCATCACTATTTGCACATCCAGCAAAAGCAACAAGCGAATCACCATCAGAATAATCAGCCTTAGAAGCAGCAACAGAAGCATTACCTTCATCACTGGGTTTATTTTTCTCTCTATATGTACCAGTTCTCTTCTCTTTATTCTTCAATTTATAACACTCATCTATAAAGTGATTATCCTTCTTGCAATACTTGCAGAATTTATCTCCCTGCTTGTTTCGAGATTTAGATCGGCCTTTGTAATGATGAGAACTTTTGCCTCTATTGCCATTGTTTGATTTATTATCTGTCCTCCCACGAACAGACAACGCTTCTCCTTTAGAAGCAGAACCTTCAGAAGAAACCATCAATTTCATCTTTTCTTTGGCATGCAACGCCTCAGAAACCTCATCAAGAGTTAGTGTATCATGATTATATAATAAAGTATCTCTGAAGTTTGAAAATGAACTAGGTAAAGAGCACAAAAGAATGAGAGCCAAATCCTCATCATCATAATCTACCTCCATAGACTGTAGATTAGAAACGATCTCCTTGAAGACCGAAAGATGGTTAATCACTGAACCACCCTCTTGCAACTTGTGCGTATATAACTTCATCTTCAAATGCATCTTGCTTGTCAAATCCTTAGACATGCAAAGTGACTCTAATTTGCGCCATAAAGCAGCTGCAGTGTTCTCCTGCAAACAATCTTGCAAAATATTATTTGAAAGATGAAGCTGAATTTGAGTCAGGGCCTTACGATCTTTTCTTTTTTCCTCATCGGTCCAAGACTTTGAATCTTTGTTACCGAATTTATCAAGAGCATCATCAACTTCAGCCTGCGTAAGAACAGCCCGCATTTTGACTTGCCATAGAGCGAACCTTGTGTCGCGATCCAGTTGAGGAATATCATACTTGATTGAAGACATGGTGGAAAAAAAACAATAACCAGAAGAATAATAATCTGTAGAAATTTAGGTGTAACCCTAGCAATAACGTGCAGCCTAGTACACTAGCTGTGTACAAATAGCAAAGAACTGCCAAAGAAAATCTCCAGTTCGATTCACTTGTGCACGTAAAGCGAAAACACCAACTTTTTTCACTTCAAGAGAAACAACCGCCAACAACAACCAAATCGATTTTGATTACCTTGATCCTCGTGCTATGATTTGATCTTGAACAGCACCAATCCTCTACCTGAAACAACAAGCGCTGCACGCTTTCGCGAATAGAAGTAGCAGACCTACAGATCGGCACCTCCTGGCAACTTCGGCGACACGTCCACACACCAATCATCGATCAGGACTGCCTTTTTTGTTCTTGTACGCATGGCGGACAGCGAGTAGCCTTTTGGATGGAAATTTCACGAGGAGTCGGACTCGATCCGAACCCGAACTCCGACTTGGGCGTGTGAGTCGCCGGCCGATGGGAGGGAAGCAAATCGCGGATGGATTCGAGGCAATGGCGACGACGGCGGCAAGGGATGAACAGGGAATAAAACCCTAGTTTTTTTTCAATCTAAATATCCGCTTTGGTACCACTTGTTAGTAAATAATGCAAATCAAGATCGAACACGAGACACAGATTTTTACGTGGAAAACCCTTGCGGGGAAAAAACCACGAGCGCCAACGGCGATCTTCACTATATGGAGAGAGTTTACGAGCGCAGGGAATACAATGAGTCGTCGCTCTTCCCATGCGGCTTACAAGATGTATTTATAGGACGGACTGACTGCGATTAAATCACGAAACAAATCCGCTAATAAACATGACCAAACCATGGGCCCTCTAGGCGTCCCCACAAGACCAACGTTATAATTCGGATCATATTCCAACAGATACATCTCGATGCGCTTCTAGCCCGTTAGCCCCGTATGCACAGCAGGCCAGCAGCACAGCACAGGTGTCGTGTTTATCGTTAATCTCTATCAAACTGAAGGCACGGCAAGTTTCTCATGTAATTGCACAGAGATCAAACAACGGAACGGACGTGCAGAAATTGCTGGAACGAGAGTCATCTGCTCGTCAACAGACAGCCCCTATTCTTGGCAAAGACATCTCAAAATTGGCAGGCCGACAGGCTAAAACTAACTGCTGGACGATTCTTGGATAGAAAACAACCAATTCAGGAGTGGACGCCAACCGAAGAACCAGAATTTAGCCTCCCGAAATTTTGCGTCCTCCTGTCTATAAATCCGCGGCTCGAAATACACGGGCCGGGCACTTTCCATCGAAAGCCCCGGCCTTTCTCGCTTTGCGGCATTGAATTTGCATGGCGACGATGAACGCCAGAGCGCTGTGCCTCGCCGTCGTCGCGATCGTCTTCTCCGTGCTCCCGGCAGGCCCTCGCCGCCGGCGAGGGCTCCAAGAAGGCGGACAAGATCACCGCGCTGCCTGGCCAGCCGAAGGATGCGGTCGTGCAGCAGTATTCCGGCTACGTCAACCTCGACGACAAGGCCGGGAAGTCGCTCTTCTACTACTTCGTGGAGGCCACCGCTGATCCGGCGACGAAACCACTTCTTCTCTGGCTCAATGGAGGTAATTTTTTTGTTGTTGTTTTCATGTATGTATTTTCGTCTTTATGTTCCCCTTTCACTCTCCGAAAGTCTGAATGAGAGAAGATACCACTGTCCAGTGAAATCGATAGCATTGATCGCGTTTATTCACATCTATATATAAATTCAGACGCCAGGTAGATGATTATTTTCGGCCTCCCTGATTGATTTATCGTTTGCGATGTTCATACTGATGATTTGATACTAATGAATGGTGGAGTGCATTTCTGCAGGGCCTGGATGCTCTTCCTTCGGAATCGGAGCATTCCAAGAGATCGGCCCGTTCCGTGTGGACACGGACGGCAAGACCCTCTGCAATTTCAAATACGCCTGGAACACAGGTCACATCACATCTACTTATACAGAATGGAAAATGATTGCAATTATTATCGCTAAGTACTTTGTGAAAATAAAATGTAATACGATGCAGTGGCGAACGTGCTGTACCTGGAGAGCCCCGTGGGCGTGGGCTTCTCGTACGCCGCCAACACGGACGTGTACAAGGTGATGGGCGACAACATGACCGCGGACGACTCGCTGCAGTTCCTCCTCAAGTGGCTGGACCGCTTCCCGGAGTACAAGGGCCGCGACTTGTTCATCGTCGGCGAGAGCTACGCCGGGCACTACGTCCCCGAGCTCGCCGCCGCCATCCTCGCCGCCAAGAACGCCGACATCAACCTCAAGGGGATCGCGGTGGGGAACGCGATCCTGGAGTTCGCGGCGGAGCAAGCCGCGCTGTACGAGTACCTGTGGCAGCACGCGTTCCTGTCGGACTCGGCGCACACGCTCATCGGCCAGCGCTGCAAGAACGCCGAGGACAACTCGCCGCTCTGCTCGGGGGCCAAGGACACGGCCTACAACCAGCTCGGCAACGTCGACGTCTACAACATCTATGCCAACACCTGCCATGACAAGAATAAAGTCAAGCCCACAGGATCCAATTGCATGGTATGTACACCATGCATATATATCTAGCTATAGCTATCTGCTGATATGATGGCCGTTGCGTTCGTCGGTTCGTCCTCCTAGCTAGCAGCTCAAGCTAGGCCAGTGTTGAGGATCATTTTAATTTCGATCTCAAGCGCAGCTCCACGTATATTATATATATGTCTGCACTCTGCAGGACTTGGCTGATCCTTGTGCTCAATACTACGTGGAGGCGTACCTGAACCAGCCAGAGGTGCTGAAGGTCATCCGTGCCAACACAGGGCTCAAGTACAAATGGACTAGATGCAGGTATATATATATATGGCTCTAGTTACGTTGTCCTTCACCAAAATACAAGCTAGTGCTTCCGTTGACACGAAGAAATCGATTGAACCCTGTGGTGGACGGGATGGCACAGGCAAACGTTCTACAACCTGCTCAAATTCGGCGACTCGCCGACGAAATCGATGCTGCCGTACATCAAGGCCGTCGCCGCCGGCGGCGTCCGCGTGTGGGTCTTCAGGTCGGTCGATATGCCCCTGCCCCATGCATTCTCGTAGAGTTACACCTATCTCAAATCTCAACATGCATGCGCCATTGGTATTTGGTTAGCTAAACAATATAATGCGAATGTCACCTGCAGTGGCGACCTGGACGCGATGGTTCCTGTGATCGCGACGAAGCAGTCCATGGAGAAGCTCGGCCTCGGCGTCGTGGTGGACTGGCGCCCCTGGTCCATCGACAGCAAGGACCCGGAGGTAAGCATGCATGCATATATGCAGTTGCCTGCCTTTGCATGCCCTTTGGCGGTGGCATCCTGAATGAACTCGATCTAGAATGTGTGTGATGGCTGAGATCGAGCCCGTGACGGCGCTGACGATGATATATTCTCCATGTATGCACCATGGCAGGTCGCCGGGTACGTGATCGAGTACAAGGGCGTGGTGTTCGCGACGGTGCGCGGGTCCGGGCACATGGTGCCCATCGACCGCCCGGACCGCGGCCTCGCGCTCTTCTCGTCCTTCGTCAAGGGGGAGCCGCTCCCCAAGGCCGCGCCGATGGTCGACGGGTGAAGAGGCACGGCAGACGGCACGCGAGAGCCAGCCACCCGCGCCCGTGCCCCGGCGGGATTCAATTCGCTGCTCATGTTCAAGGAGCCACGGTCGTTGGGACTTCATTCTTGCGCGGCGTTTCATTTCAGTCTTCTCTCGTACTAATCCATATACTGTTTCCGTTTCCACGTCAATTTAACTACCAGACCGTGCTGACTAACTAAGCTCTGTGACCTCAACTGTTGTATGAATGTTTCGGTGCCGTCAACTAATTTTTGAGCATGCACAGTGTCGTCGACTAATTAAGGGTATGACTACGTTTGGAGGGTTCATGGAGCTAGAGCCGCTAAGCCAGTGCAGTACAGATTTTCTATCTTTATCGGCTTCTAGTTCTTTTTGTGAAGGGATAGAAAAACGGGTCCCTACTGCACGGCACAAGATTCATCAGAGTCGTTTTGGAAGTACTCCGTAGCAGCCTTTCTAAATAGGGCATAAATAAATTGTCTCATGCGTTGACGCTACACCGAGACGTCGCCTCCCCCGAGTCACTAGTTTGGGGATTGGTTTGCAATACACAGATGCGGTGCGGTCAGAGCAGGCCGTAGCATTGGTCCATAGCTCAGTGCCGGTTTAGTTCCTAAAATTTTGTAAAATTTTTTAAGATTTTCCATCACATCGAATCTTTGGACGCATGCATAAAGCATTAAATATAAATAAAAAATAAAACTAATTATATAATTTAGACGAAATTCACGAGGCGAATCTTTTAAGCCTAATTAAACTATGATTGGACCTTGATTGCCAAATAACAACGAAAGTGCTTCTGATGACCATTTTCCATAAAATTTACGCCAACTACACAAGGCCTTACCAAGAAAAGAGAAGCTACTGTGGTTGTCTTAGGGCCTCCGCAATGGAGGGAGTAAGAAGGGGTAATCGACCTTACTACTGGTAAGATACATTTTAAAGAAGAAAAAGAAATGGTAGTAGCACCATCCGGTAGTAGCACTACTGCTTAACAAAACAAAGAACGAAAAAATTCATATTGGCGTTGTTATTTGGTCTCACAAAACCAGACCACCCGCTGGTTGCTCTCACAAAATCTTTGTTCATCAACTCGCCGCTCTGATGTTTCTCTCTCACAAAACCAGCCGATTTGAGACCAATGACAGGGCCATTCTCTCACTCACCCTCGCTTACGCCATGCTGCCCGGCGCACCATACCCCGCCATCGTCAGCTCCTTGTCCCCACCGTATCACCACATGGACATTGTCTTGGTGGTGGTTTGATGCTTATATCATCGCTGCTCCTTGGCCCCACCTTATTATCGACCTCGACAATATACATTGCGCCTGCCCTTAGGAACAAATTAAAGTATTACCACAACTAATTTA